AGAAAACTTATTCACATAAGCTAGCACTTACTTTAAAGGAGGGTCTTTAATGAAACTATATGCGTCACTAAGTTCTTATCAGCATGAGCTAGGGCTCCACAATCTGTCCTTTTAAAAAAAACTGCTTCTCTCAGTTTCAGGTGGCACATTATGCAAGCACGTACTGCAGCACCTGCAGTGCATGATGTGGAACAACATATGCTTGTCTATGGCACCATTTATTTAGAAATAACACACAATATGTCTGATGATAAAAAGAACAAAGCGAATAAACACATTTCAGAACAATCAAATATTTTAAATTCAAATTTTACTCTGAATTTTTTGACTTTTTAGTTTGTGTGTGTTCTGTGTGTGTGTGTGTGTGAGAGAGAGAGAGAGAGAGAGAGAGAAAGAAGAAAGATATGCTACTTAAGTTTTTTAGAGCACTTACTATAAAGCAATATTAAATCAAATATTAGGTAAAGCAAGATTCTCTGAAAACTTTCAGTATACAATTAACCATTATAAATCCAGAACTCTGTGCACACCTTGGATGCTAACATCAAAATCAGCAGTAGGAAAACATTGTGGACCTCTGTTTTGAATTGCTGATTGTTACTGTATTCATTTTCTCTGAAGTTAATTGCAAAGAAAACCCTAACTATTCTATTTTGCAGTTCTGTGACAGAGAAAGACCCCAGACCTCAGAAAATCAATATACAGATTCTTTAAGACCACTAGGCATATTACCAGCATGTAATTGAATGTAAAATTACAAGGATGTGAATTTTTTAAAATACAGAAGGGAGAAGTAAGACCAGAAATTATCTCAACTGCTCTACTATTATGAACCACAACCTACAGCAATAGAAAGGTCATATGAGCTGCTAGTAGAAGAACCTTAAAGCATATTTAAGTCCTCTAACACATAAAGGTCTTGTTGTAGGCAGTTAACTGCAAAGAAAAAAGTAGTATATGTGTAAGACTGAAGCTAGCAACGTCTTCTGCCAGACTTTTCTCAAAAAGCAAATGATATCAATTGTACGTGTAACCAAATGCAGCAAGATTGTGCTAGCATGTATTCCAATACTTAATGAAAGAACATCAATTCTCATGCAAGAAAAGGCAATGATATACAGACTGTGGTTGAAAAAGGAAGTTTTGGGGAGAGAACTGTGAGCTAGGTAGCTTGTTCTTAAAATAAAAAAGCAGAAGAGTCATCTTATGGACTGCAGATAAAGATCAATAGGGCGAGTTGCATTCCTTTGGATGAAAAGAGTATTTAGGCACTGGAAAAGCTAGCAGAGGGAAGTGGTAAAATCACCATTCCTGGAGGCATTTAAGAGTTGTTCAGATGTAGTGCTTAGATACATTGTTTAGTGGTGTACTTGGTAAGTAGTGATTAAACTTGATAATCTTATGTGCCTTTTCCAGCCTAAATGATTCTATATACTATGATACTGTAGACAGAAAAATACTAAAATGAAAAGATATAAAGCCCAGAAAAAAAAAAAAAAAAAAATTAAAATTGAAAGCTAGCAACACAGCAATTTGGGAATAGAGCTCATTTCATGTTTCAAGGCCAAAACATCTCCAGTTGACTTGCAAATCACTAACCAGCAGATCAGGTCATTGAATGCTTACACAGTGTAAATTTTTAAGCCTTAAACCATTAGTAATCCTTAAACCAATAGTAACTCTTATATTGATTAACAAAAAAAAAAAAAAAAAAAAAAAAAGAGAATCGAGAGTTTCTGCATTTAGCAAAACATCATCAAACATATCTCAGCTAGTAAAGATTGACTCTAGCACCAAACAAGATTATCTTATTATTAAGCAGTCACACAGTGCCATATTCAACACATCTAAACAGACTAGATTCAGATCAGATTGCTTTGGAGTGCTGAGTAGAAGTTCTACTGCGTTACCATTTTCAAGAAATGATAAATCAGTGAAATCTATCATATCATGGCACGAATTGCATCTATTCTGTTTTTAAGAAAGAAGGGCAAATGCTCTTTCTCTATCTTCAGTCTCTTTTCTATGTCTTCCCATATCCATGGACCTCTGAAATTACTGGACTTTGTGACAGCTGTTTCATAGTTCAGCTATATAATAAACAGGAATAACAGATCCTATAGATTTCAAATATATCACTTTTTCCTACCCTTTTTGCTCTCATGTTAATCATAGAATCATAGAACGGCTTAGGTTGGAGGAGACCCTAAAGAGCATCTACTTCCAACAGTTCTGCCATAGGCATGGTTGCCTGCCACTAGATCAGACTACCCAGGATCCCATCCAACATGGCCTTGAATGCTCCAGAAATGGGGTATCCACAGTACCTTTGGGTAACCTGTTCCAGTGCCTCACCACCCTCTGAGTTAATGAATTAGGAATTTCTTCCTAATATCTAACCAAAATCTACTCTTTTTTCCTTTAAAGCCATTCCATTTTGACCCATGTGCAATACCTTGCACCTTACCTTATTAAACCTCCTTACGTTCTGACATGCCCATTTCTTGAGCCTGTTCAGGTCCTTCTGGATGGCATCAATCCCTTCTGTTTTGTCAACTTCACAATTCACCTTGGTGTCATCTGCAGTCCTGCTGAGGCTACTCTTGATTCACTGTGTCATTGATGAAGATGTTGATTGATGAAGATGATGAACGCTGAACTCAAGGTGGACCCCTGGAGGACACCACTCATGACTGACCTCCACCTGGACATAGAACCTCTGACAAAAACCCACTGGCTATGACCATCCTACCAATTCTTTGTCTATTGAATAGTCCAGCCTTCAAAACCATATCTCTCCAATTTAGAGATAAGGATGTGGTGCACGACATGTTAAAGGCTTTGCAGAGGTGCAGGCAGATGACATCAGTTGCTTTTCCTTTGTCCACAGATGCTATCACCTTATCACAGAAGGCTACTGATTGGTCAGACACAATCTGCCCCCAGTGAAGCCATGCTTACTCTCTTGGATCACCACCTTGTCTCACATGTGTTTTAACACCACTTCCAAGAGAATCTATTCCATGGTCTCCCCTGGCACAGGCATGAATTCATTGTCCTGTACCTCCCCAAGTCTTCCTTTCTCCCTTTCTTCTATATGGAAGTGATGTTTGCCTTTTTTCAGTCATCAGGAACTTTGCCTGACTGACATGATATTTCAGACATGACAGAGAGTGACTTGTCTGTTGTCAGCAACTGCGAAACTGCGAGACCCCCCCGCGGGGTCTGATGTGTTAAGCTCCCTCCCTGCTCTAATGATTGATGTGTGATGTGCCCCCTTGGGGGCGTAGACGAAGTAATTAGGCTATATAAGGTAGTGTATACGGGTAATAAACGCCATTTGCTGCTCATTATATTGGTGTCGCCTCAGTAATTGGCCAAGCTGCGGTCTCCCGGGAAATTCGGTACGGGCGTGAAAAGCAACAAGTGGTGACCCCGATCGACGTGATTCCTGGGAGTGAGTCAGCTGTCTGCCGGAAGCAGGATCCCACTGCGGTAGCGGTAAATTCAAATCTGCGGAGTAGTGGTAACCCGGGGACGGGGAGGAGTGCGCATTACTCCTCGTCAGGCGGGAGGCTCGGGAAAAGGAGCCAAGATTCCCCTAGGACGCTAGGGGGGAAACGCCAGAAGAGGCCAGGTGCATGTTCGGCCGGAGGCGTTATGGAAGCCGTCATAAAGGTGATTTTCCATGCATGCAAAAATTATTGCGGGAAAAATGTTCCTTCTAAGAAGGAGATATCAGCGACACTTTTGTTGCTGGAGAAGGAGGGATTACTATCATCCCCTTCTGATTTATATGATCCTAATAATTGGGATTCGTTTACTGCTGCGCTCTCACAGAGGGCAATGTTTAATCAGAAAGCAGCAGAGATTAAGGTGTGGGGATTGATTTTAACAGCTCTTAAGAAAGCAAAAGAGGAGAAGATTGCAGGTGACCGTGCTAGGGAGCTGCTGGGGCTCGGGCCAGGGGGGGGGTCTTGTCTCCCCTACAGATTCGCTGGAGGGCAAGATGGCGCTGACTCCTTCGGCCCCACCAGAAACAACGACCCTGGAGATAAAGAAGAACGAAGTGAAGCAGGAGCAATCATACCATAAAAGGGAGGACCCACCTCCGTACCCGGCTCGCAGCATATATCCTTCGCTTAAGCCCTGTAAAGATAACGGGGAAGGGGGGTCGGTGGAGGAAAGTGGTATAACTTCTAGTACAGTTGATAAGAGGGTCCTTGAGAAGGGAGAGATGTCTGGAGGGGCTGTGATACAACCTGTGGAATGTGACAGTGGGGGCGGGACTCACCTACTGCCCGATTCTGCCTGCTACGGTGGCCACCCCCCGAGGGGCGTGGATTGTCCCCAGCCTTGCTGTGGGGGGGGCGTTCCGACGGGGATGGCCCTGGAGTCCGCCCAGGAGGGGCGTGGTCCCATATCGACAGCTTCATGGGGCCTGCCTACCCTCACTGATTGGGCTCGAGTGAGGGAGGATATACAGGCCGCAGATCCAGCAGGTGTCGCTCTCACTTTGCCGGTGGTGATAAGACCAGAGGGTCCAGCTTGGGTTCCTCTGGAGTCCAAAGCGGTTACTTGTCTTTCGGAATTAGTTAAGAGCAAAGGCCTGCGTTCCCCTGTTACTATGGCAGCAGTGGAAGCTCTTATGGCTTCTAGTCTTTTGCCATATGATGCGGTGAACCTTATGCATGTTATTCTTGAGCCCGTACAATACACCCTGTGGAATGATGAATGGAATAGACTACTTCAAGCTGTGGTGGCTGCTGCCAACCGGGACCCCCAACATCCAGCCAACGGCCAGCGCAGAGGCGAGAGAACTAATCTTGCACGTCTTCAGGGCCTGGCAGATGGAATGGTGGGATCCCCGGAGGGCCAAGCAGCAATGCTCAGACCAGGAGAGCTGGCAGCTGTTACAACGGCAGCCCTCCAAGCCCTGCGAGAAGTGGCTAAGGTTGCGGAACCTGTGCATCCGTGGGCAGACATAAAGCAGAGCCACTCAAATTTCGAAAACAGATGTTATATCAGGCGTAAGGGATCGTAAATCCTGTGTTATTGAACAGGGAGATTGCCAGTATAATTTCATCCTGACCCAACCTGTAATGATAACATGCCTTTGGACACAAGACACCTTAGGACGATCTTTTAAATTCAAGGTGGATCTCCTTAATCAACAAACAACTGATGTCCCATATATAACTCCCACTAGGAGACTGGAGAGTGTTATCTCCCCACAAATTTATCAAATCGGGCCGTACGCCATAAAGAACACAGGTCAGCGTCAGGTGATCTTTAATCCAACGTGGTCCCTTAAACGAGTGATGCTATTATTGCAGACTAATGTGTCAACTATTAAACCAGATTGTGCATTATTTTTAGGCATGTCATATGCCGGATGGTCGGCATGGCTTCATCGACAGGCACTTGATACACTTAGAAGAGCAAAAAGAGATGTTTCTGGTATTCTGGGAACAGGTTTAGGAGTCTTAAACAGTATAGACACTGAAATACTCATGAGTAAATTGAATGCCATTACAAGTAATATACATGAATTGCAACATCCTCTACAGTCGTCCCTATCAGGTTTAGGAACAAGCCAATGGCTTTTATCAGATGTGTTACCGCAATGGGAAAAGATAGATAGGAAAGATCATCTGTTGATTATGGATGCGCTTTCAGCAGTCCAAGGTAATACTTCTTTAGCCCTCAGTTGCATTCAGGCCCAGATGTGGATGCAGTTTATAGCAGCGACAATCATGAGAGAAGGTGAGGATGGCACTATACCCACTGAAATTAGAAAAGTAATTTGGGACAATGCAAATAGGTTTGAAAGAAAATTTCAATCATGGTGGCATTTAGTTAACTTCACTTATGATCCTGTCACCAATTATGCCGTGGCTTTTGTTTTGATGATAAGTAATGCTTCAGTATACACGATATATCCAATCATAGCCCTAGGATTAAATCATGGTGAGACTACTCTGTATCCAATTGAACATCGGATATGGGCTCTTCAAAAGAATGAGAAATGGCAAACTGTGGACGTTAGTTCATGTGCCATGCGTGAACAACAAGGATTTATTTGTGAAAGTAATACATTTGAGACTCAAGATATCTGTTTTGACACTGAACAAAATATCTGCCACTTTGAGGTCCAGCCTGGTAGGATGTTCGAATCAATGCTTGTATATATTGGAAAAGGATGTGCTTGCATCAGAACTCATTGCGACTCCATACAAATAGGGGATATGATTGTTGATACTGCCAATCACTCAAATCTTTGTGTTTGCAATTTTATCAATATTTTAGGATGTGATTTTAACTATACAGTTCCTGTTACTTCATATCAGCTTTTGCAGTTCAATTACACCCTGATCAAAGATTTGCGTCCAGCGCTGATTGGAATGAATCTCGCTTTGGTAAAGGAGCTTCTACAACATGACGATCTGCATCAACTATTAGAACGCATCAAAGACAACGGACAAAAGACCTTGATTACTGTTCATCATGACGTGAAAAAGATACATCGCATCTTGGAGAGAGTAATGAAGGCTGGAGAACATCACTGGTGGGAGGTTCTTTTCGGTTGGTCTCCCACAGCTACGGGAATATTTAACTCTGTACTACATCCGGTAGTTGTTATATTAGGTTTAATAGTATTATGCTTGGTTCTTATAGTTATATTATATATAAAGACATGGCGCTTGCTAAAGCAAGTGTCCCAGCTTGATTTAGCATTAAATAGGGATACACTGCATCGTTTTTTGTAAGACTTATTTTAAGGTTGATAGACGGTTATAACGTTAAGGTAGAACTTATATAAGATATTAAGATTTTAGGATTGTTAAGATAATAGGTTGTCATTAAGTTATAAGGTTATAAGGTTATAAGTATATAGGTTATAAAGTTATAAGTATATAAGGTTATAAGTTATAAGGTTATATAGGGATATAAGTTATATAGTGTTATATAAGTTATAGGGTTATTAGGATAGGATATTTTGCGAATCGGGTTGTAACGGGGCAAGGCTTAACTGAGAGGACAATGGCATGTATAGGCGCAATGCGGGGATTTCGGGGTGTACGCGGTTAGGGTCCTCTCGAGTTGTAGTATGCTTTCTTGAGCATGGAGAGGGGGAGATGTTGTCAGCAACTGCGAAACTGCGAGACCCCCCCGCGGGGTCTGATGTGTTAAGCTCCCTCCCTGCTCTAATGATTGATGTGTGATGTGCCCCCTTGGGGGCGTAGACGAAGTAATTAGGCTATATAAGGTAGTGTATACGGGTAATAAACGCCATTTGCTGCTCATTATATTGGTGTCGCCTCAGTAATTGGCCAAGCTGCGGTCTCCCGGGAAATTCGGTACGGGCGTGAAAAGCAACACTTGTCATCCAGATCAGCCAGTTCCTTCAGAAACCTGGGATGAAAATCATCTAGCCCCCATAGTCTTGTATACATTCAATCTCATGAGAAAGTTTTTGACTTCTTTGTCTCCTTCTCTGGAGATGTTCAAGACCTGCCTGGATGCCTACCTGTGCGACCTGGTGTAGGGAACTTGCTTTGGCAGGGGGTTGGACTCGATGATCTCTGGAGGTCCCTTCCAACCCCTACAATTCTGTGATTCTGTGATTCTGTGACTTGGTCCGCTCTTACACTGGGAGTAAACAGGTTGTCATCAGTGGACTCTAGGCATCTCCTGGAATGCTTACAGTTCACAGCGTGTTTTTCTTTTCCAGCAGACATCTGGATGATTGAGATCCCCCAGCAGAATGAGAACCTGTGAATGTGATACTTTCTGCAGCTGAATCAAGGTCTTGTCAACAGATTTCCCTTGATCAGATGGTCAGGTAGCAGATCAGGATCACCTGCTGTCCTTTATTTATCCAGTTCCTAATTTCAACCCACAGGATCTCAACATGTTAGTGATTGACTGTTTCTCTACATCAGCTCTTCACTGTTGTAAGAAGCTGTTCAAAGCTTGTTCAGTGGTGCTCATCCAAGACATGACCTGCTCAAGAAGCTTTTGGGGTTCCTGACAAGCTGAGGGAGCTGGGCTTGTTAAGCCTGGAAAAAAGAAGGCTGTGGAGTGATCTCATTTCAGCATTTCAATACCTAAAGAGAACCTACAAAGGGGAGGGGAATCAACTCTTTGAAAGGGTTGATAGCTGCAGGACGAGGGGAAATGGTTTTAAGTTGAGGGAGGGAAGATTTAGGTTGGATGTCAGGGGGAAATTCTTTACAGAGCGAGTGATGAGGTGCTGGAACAGGCTGCCCAGAAATGTTGTAGATGCCCCGTCCCTGGAGGTGTTCAAGGCCAAATTGGATGGGGCCCTGGGCAGCCTGGTCTAGTATTAAATGGGGAGGTTGGTGACATGGGGCAGGGGAGTTGGAGATTCATGAACCTTGAGTTCCCTTCCAACCCTGGACATTCTGTGATTCTGTGATTCTGTGTGATTCTGTATTAATGATTACCTTGAGCATAGTGGTAAGAGAAATGTATGCAGCTCAGTGACAAGGAGAAATCTTTCTTAGCTGTTGCTCTTTCTGGGCATTCAAGGTGACTTTTGTGGGTTGTCTGGGAGAAGAAGGCCATTACACAGTCAAGGAACACACCTAGCAGCCCACCATGCAACAGTCAGGTGATCAATTTCCAATTACTCAACTGGAAGGGCATGTACTATGGACATGCTGTTTTCCCTCACAAATTATAAGTACCCCTGACAACTACCAGAACCCCTGACAAACAAAACATAAATTCCCCTGACAACTAAAGCAAGCCCTGACAAGTTAAACAGCAGTGCCCCTGACAACCAACTGCTGCATTAAAACAATGTTATGAAGAGGATAAAAACCTGTAGACTTCTGAGGTAGAATGACTACTCTGTTCTGCTGAACTGCAGCTGTGTGGGTCAATGAGATACTGTTGACCATCTTGCTGTCTCCTTATGAGCCAATGAGACAATGCTGGATCTCTGATGGTAGCTATCCCCTCTTTATAAATAGTTTGTCAGGATTTTTCTCTTTACTATGGCTAACTTGCTCATCATTCATGCATTCCTTAGCTGCTTAGAATTAACTACATAATTAAGTCAGTTGGATGGCATTTGGCTTCTTTTACTGCACTAGTCTTCCTCCAGATATATCTGTGTTGAATTATTTCCTCCAATTAATTGGAGTGAGACAGATGTTTATACACTTCTTAACACAGAAGTTAACTCCACCATTTCTTTTATCTCACCTATCCTTCTAAAAAGCTCTTGGTCCTCAATCATGTTTCAGTTATGTGAGTCATCTAACTGTGTTTCTGTGATAGTAATAAGATCATAGTTTTCCAATTGCACCATGGTTTTCACTTACTCCTGCTTATTTCCCTATTGCTTGCAGTGGTATGGAGGCACTTCAGCTGGACTTTCGGCTATATAAAATTCATAGAAGAGCTCTCCCCATAAAAAATATTTAATGCTATGTTGAATGTTCATGAATATCCTCCTGTTAGCAGCTGCAACTTCAGCATCATTTTCATAAAGATATTAAGGCAATTGTATTAAGGAAAAAATACTTGTTTCCTAGCATACAATGGTGTCAATAGACATTTTCAAAATGCATTTTAAAAAACCCATCTCTTAGTGAAGTTCAGAATTTCCTAATTTTAACACACATACACTGCTTTGTTAAGAGTCATGAAGAAAAGAATGTGTTCATTGGGGGGGAGAGGGAGGGGAAGAAAAATATTTAAAAGATAATAAACACATTCCTCAAATATGCAAAACAGTGTTTTGATTTATATATTCTTCAGACCTCTGAGTCTTTAGCTTTAACAGAAAAGTGTTTTGTGTTTTATCTTTTTTAGGATGTTCTTAATGAGTAATCAAAGTAATTACCTTGGAACTACCCTGTAAAAAGTCACCAAAAACAGATTAATGTGTGTAAATAGTGGAATTTTTGGAAAACAGAAGGCTCAGGGGAGACCTCATTGCAGACTTCCCTACTTAAATGAAGCCTATATGCAGGAGGGAAATCAACTGTTTACATGGATAAATAATAATAAGACAAGGGAGAACAATTTTAGACTAGGAGAGGGAAGATTTAGTTTAGATGTCATGGGGGAACTTTTCATTGAACAGGATGCTCAGAGAAGTGGATAACCCAGAGATATTCAAGGCTGAGCTGGATATAGTCCTGGGCAGCCTGATCTTGTGTCTCATTTACTGGCTTCAATACTGCCCATGACAAGCGCTTTGGAACCATACCATCTTCCATCTCCAGCCAATTTATGTAAGATAAGTAAACTCAGAGGAAAACTGTTTCAGTTTTCTGTTAGTCTTTAGTAATTCCAAGTAGTACACCCATGCAATACTTATTTTAGTCTTTACTCTTACTCTTTCCCCCAGTTAGTCTTTATTACATTTTCCCCCATATAGAAGAAGATGTTTTAAAACAAAAGTTCAGCCAAAACATATGCTCCAGATTGTATCAATCAGTAATCCAGACATCACATACTTTTCATTAAAAACTTTATCTTGCATAGATAATATTTTACTGAAGAAGTAGATGGAAAACTACAATTTATAGGAAGTCCTTAACTATAATCAGTCCTGGACAACAGATCAAAAATGTGGAATACACTAATTAAGAAAAATCTTCTCTACTTCTTTCTCATGGTATTTAAATTATCTAAATACCATGTTAAAAACCATGATATTTAAACATTTAACCTTCATATATTTTAAACCTGGCATTTACCAGGTTTAACCACATATAAAAATTAAATTAAGACATACTTGAATGTTTAAAAGATCAGAAGATTTTATGCAGATAACAAATATCAATCTCATCTGAATATTTACTTCTGTTATTTGTACTGAGATTGGTTCACAGTAACTTGACATTTCATATTATATGTAATGTAATATGATTAAATCAACAGATAAAATGTACATGTCTGTTGGAACAGCCATATCTGTTTACAGATTGAGAACATTTTGCTTCATATCTCATTTCATTACCTTGTACAGGATGAAGTATAAAATTTAGAAAGGGAGTTAGAGAAAGAACTGGAGATAAACTGGATTTGGCCCCAAGAGGCAATTAAAAGGTTTTATCTCCAAAGAGATTAAATTTTATGCTAAAAATTATTTACACTACAGTTTCACTATCTTGAGGAAATTTTGAGGAATAAATTGAGAATCCAGAATTCTTGATGTATATTACTTCTAGTGAATATATTTTTTGCCAGTAAAATGAAAGCTGGTACCTGTGCAGAAGATCTTTAATCTCTTTAAGCATGGTATCACAATTCAACTTTGTAATTCTTGTCAACTAAGATAACAATTGATAGTTTGAAAAATAATGCTTTCTATCTTGTATTTAACTGGTTTTAATGAAAAAGATAAAAGATCTTAATTTCTCATATCATCTCACTAACACTGAATTTAGATGTTCTCAATATAGGGAAAAAAAGCAATGGCTACTTTTTGTGTAGTGAGCCCATATTTACTTGTGCAAGTGTTGAAATAGTTCAGCAACACCTAACGATGCAATCAGTATGGATTGGTATCTCCTGTAGTACTGACAAATAACACTAGCCATTACAGTGATAGTTTTTAGTTGTTGCTTTTACCCATTTCTAAAGCTTCCTGAAATGAACAAATAGATATAGATTCTTATCTGAAACTGACAGATGAAGTTCTCTTTTAATGCAAACTGTGTGCAGCCTGCCACCAGGTGATGGATTAGCTGAGGTTCAGAAGCAGTATGTTTTATTAGAGTT